TACTCTGTGCTGAGTGATAAAGCGTAAGCTTTAAATTAGGTTTTGTTCAAATATTGAACAAAAGTTTACTTCTTAACGTTACATTTTACGGTTACCCCATCCACGCAACAGCTAAACCAGTGCTGCAGGACGGGAATATTTTATGCTTACAACCCTGAACTAGATCAATAAGACCCACAACAATAATCATGCTAGGCTTGATTTTTGCTCAAATATGGCCAAAATCAGCAGCATTACTTCGAACAAAAATTAAACAGCACATACATTTTGATGTTTATAAAAAATATCCAGCCCACCTACTTCTGATAGGTGCATTATGTTCTTACTGTGTCGTCTGCACTTCTGAATGAAGGTTGGATTGGAACCTGCAGAAATCCATAGTGCCAGACAAAATTAAATTGTCGGTGACACATCTCGTTTTAAAACACTGATGATAAAATTGAAGTTGTTGCTCCAGGAAGTCAAAGAACTTCTTTCCATTGAGTTTTGCCATCAAAATTTGCGCATTACTACTCCTCAGCTGATTTTTCATGTAGCCAACTGAAACATTTCAAACTGATGAAAGTGGCCACACAACAGACTGTCTTCATGTTAGCAGCTTACAAGTGAAATACCTGAACAGTATGTCCGTGGACATCCCTTTTTCTCACCAGTCGTGTTCAATGAGATTTATTTAGCTGGATATTTAAAAATAGAGCAGAATAGCTCCGTGGGTATCATCATATCTTTTCTAAAGAACCTTAGTCTTATTTCCTTACTCGCCACCGGTTTGTAGTTGTTTGGTTCACAGTACATCTAAAACTGGTTGGTAATTATCTATTGTTGCTTCTACCAAGGGTATTATTGGAGAAAACTTTTATTAAATAATAAAGATACGGTTTTAATTTATTTTTGTGCTACAAACTTGTCTTTACTATAAAAAGAAACGTAGGGCAACTATCGCTTCATTTACTTAGCAGCAACCGTTGAGTCATCAAGTCCATTTTCATGGATCCGAGAATGTTTCTGGAAATCCACTGAAAAAGGAAAAGTCTCTTGTAATTTATTTCGAGATAACGGTTACCCTCAAGTATTTGAAATCTGCCCGTGATCTTTTTCCAAGCTATCGTTTGAATACTTCCTAGGTTGTTTTTGCCTTGCCAGCTAAACTCTTCCTCAGCTGATTAGGTTTTTAATTTATGCCTTTTAATGCCCTAGCCGCTGGTTCTCTCATATTCGGGTCTGAAGCTGTTTATATTTTTGAGTTGGCATTTTTTGCTTTTTCCACTTTTTCTGTTGAATCAATCCTATATATCTAAGTTGGTGAAATTAATGCGCATTTAACTTTGCAGTCATGTTTCCATCTGTGGGCAATCCTGGCTATCAGAGGTGAATTTACATCAATCACTACTATATTTGGTAGTCTAATTTTTTCAGATAGGTTGCTCCTATAATCTGCACAGTTTTGACACATTCAATTTTATTGGGCGTTTCATCACTTCAAAAGACCAGAACCTTTGGCTGATAGAATAGGCACGCCAAATAAACGTGTTGATTTGAGACAGCTGCAATGCTTTGTGGCTGAAAAAACTGAAAAGACTCCGTAGCCTCCTAAGTAGATAGTATGGATGCTGTATAAGACATTTTATAGGAAGGTGTGAGAGTTATTTGGGTGGAAAATTTTAAAACTATTTTATTTGCGTGGAATGTGTTCTTAATATCTATTCAAAGTATACCCTTAAATATAACACAACTAGTTAAATGTGGTGCTGTGGCATTTTTGTCAGAAATTTCCCTTCATTCAACCTTCTTCTGCAGACCCTTGTGCACAGTAGGTACTATCACATGCAGCATACACTTAGCCACCTGCGATGCTGCCTATACGCCACGTACAACACGTTGACCAACCAACTTGGAAAAAATTTCAATCATGGTGTTATCTGAGCAGCCTGAACTGACACGCTCTAATCAACTAAACTTTTTGTTTTCATAACATAGTGTTAAGCTGCCCTGTTATGAATGAATGAAAGATGAGTTAAGAAGGATTTGAAAAGGGAGGCGATACCTTTTGACAACTACGAGCTCTCCTATTACGTCTGTCCACAAATACCGTGCTGTAAATTGTAAACAGGAAATCGAGGTTTCTGGTAATGGTAGCAGAACATAACCCCTCCGTTTGCTGCCATCATCACCTTGGACGTGTAAAAAGTTTAAAAGACCTTACCAGATGTAAAGGCTAAATTTCAGACGTAAAAAAGGTCCAAATTTTCACTAAAATAAAAACACCGTTTTTCGTGCTCGATGGTCACACACAGTTTAACAAAACGTAAGATACTGCTCAAGTAAACCGGTGGACTTTTTGCGCGCTTTTACTTTTGAGTTTTGAAGATCGACAGCACAAAGTTATATGCTATTGGTGAAGGCTAACACCCATATAAGGGCTGTTTTCTTTAGCAACTCCGTTTAGTTTCTGCTTAGAAACAAGAGGTCTTTTGAAAATGTTGTTGGATGAACAGTTTACTCACTGGTTTGTGTGCGTTTATCCAAGAAACGCGAGGCCTCTTTTTGGCAAGAATACCTGACTGTCTGACCTGTAGAAGTACGTCACTAATTGTCTTAACAAGGGCCCTCTGACGAACGGGCTTCTTTCGGGTAATCTAGCTATTATGAAGTCTTAATCCCAGCTTAGTTGAACATTTTGTGAGTTGAAAACAAATACTGCATTAGCTGTCTATTGCAACCAATAAACCGAGCAGAAACAAAGCCGTTTTAACCATAGGTGGACTTTTTACACACGTATCAATCAACACTGGGTTGTAAGTTCTGTGTCGGCTTGGCTTATGCGCATGTCAGTTAGAAAGTTATGCTACTCACTGAAACAGCAATCGCGGTGTACGTATATTCGTTCAACTGCTTTCAAACTTTTCCATTTATTCAACTTTGTCACAAAATACACATATCACCGACAAAACCCTGAAGCAACTATTCATACGACCGTGTTAATCGCCTCCATACATCCTTGTATGTCCGCAGCAAACAACATCCATATGTTCCTTTAACGGTGAAGGTTGTACGTGTTCATATTCCTACCACATTATGGAAGCAAACTATCTAGTTATGCAAGTTTACTACGCATAACTCAACACCATGCTGATATCGTGACTGAAACTCCAAAGTCTCGGAGTTCAAAATAACCCACGAATTTGGTGGCGCCAGTGAACATCTTGACCTAAATCACTGCAATCCTGGAACTCTGAAATCATTGAGCTGACAATTTATTTTAAGCTGGTTGACAGTCTGTTCCAAGAGGCTGAAAAATCACGGAATATTCAAAAATAGTATGCAATTGTATTTGAGGAAGCCGGTAAGCAGATTTTGGAAGTGTAACACACAAGGCAGAATCATCAACTTACATTCTAATGCAAGTTTTGGGAGCGTGAAAATGTATGAGAATATTTTGTGGATACTTTGTCTTGTAAATATTGTTGACCTATACTCAAAAGCCTAGAAGCACTGTACAGTTGTTTTGTCCTTATTTGCAATAATCATCAGTGCGTAGCCCATGAAAATCCGGGCAGTCCCGGACCCATGAACTTCTGGCTAGTCGTTCGAAATTTTGGCAGTTTGGCCACGAAGGACTGGTTGGTAATGTATTTAGCTCCAAATTAAATAGGATAATGCACCATATATCCTCCAGTTACAGAATACACATTATTAGCATCTCGAGTGATGGCTTGTCAGATGGGAGCTTAACTCACTGGGTAAATTTTTTTTCTCTTTCAAGCTACTTATAAGTTGTTGGTAGCGTGAGGGGAGTTGAGAATTTTTATTGCAGATTTTATCCTGTTTGCAAATTCAGTGCCTGCTAAAAGGCCGAAATACCATACAACTGCATGTCACTCGCTAAAAATCAATAGGAATAATAGAAACCAAGAAAAATAAAACAACCTTACAGCGCTTCTTAATTTTTCAGCAAAGACTTGCTTCCATTAGAAAAAGAAGCCAATTAAAGACTTCCAAATCTCCTCACAAAGGAAGAATTATTGTATAAAGTTAGTGAAACTTTCTTCTGGGAATTGATAACACGAGGAGGCAACCAGCATGTGTGGCAACCTGACTTGTTTCCTGTGACTGAGAGATGAAGGGCACTATATTCTGTCTTAGGGAGTGCTAATCACACTGCTGCTCAGCAACTCGTGGTTGTTTGTTGAACCAGTGGCCGGGAGGTGTCCACTCTGTGAACTTAGCAAGATTTGCACTGCAGATCGCAAATATGAATAAAATATTTAAACATTTTTGTCGGCTCTTCAACACAGATAGGCTTACTTACAGGACGATATCTCCGTGAAAAATCGAAGGATTCTATATGATAACCCAGTTTTTGTAGAAAACTCTGGTTGTTTGTGCAGGCCACGATTGTGATGATGATACAGTTGGCATGTAGTTTTTAATGCAACATGCAGGACTGGGCAACCACATGTCTATTTAGTTTCACTCCCAAGTGCCAGTTTTGTATGTTTTGTTAAACTTGTTAAAATTAGCATCCCTCCTTAGTAAAAACGATGTTTTTGAGACAACTTATCAACCGCGGTTGGAGAATTTGGGACATCTTCAGGTCCGAGTTTTTCAGAACCATTCTTTTGGGCCGAGTATTTAAGGCTGCAATAAAAAATCTCGCTGAAGAGGAACTAACAAGAGGGAAGGTGATGCTTCAAATGTACAAGTTGGCTCTCTTCCTCACTAAGTGCAAAACATTTGGAAAAATCACAGATAACCACCACAGCAACCATTCTCTCACCTACCTTTAACAAAGGTTAATGGTACTCCCGAACCCGTTTGAAGTGTTCAGTAAGTCTGATTATGCACTTGTCAGCACAGGAAATTAACACCTTTGAATCCACAGCTGTACTCTCACTATAAGGGTATATTTGGGCTATAAAATACTAGAATTCCTAAGTTCTTGTCACTTTTTTTATTATTTTAGATCCGTTTAATATTACTTCTCCTGCGCTGGTGGCTTCATGGAACAACCACCAAATCCCGTTTATGTCGACCTTTACGGTAACATTGTATGGCCCGAAAGCACGTCTCATTTGAATACCACTCCGTCTGTTCATACGCATGAACACCAACAAAACTCCGCACAACCTTGGGAGAGTAACCAGACGACAAAAGACTGGTTGAAGAATCACAGTCTTAAGGCACTTGGGTTGACTGTGAAAGATTTGATAAAGGCAGGCAAATTGTCACCCAATGAAGTGGAAAGGTATGAAGGTTGGTTAAGTCTTCTTGCTATAATTTTTTTCATGTACTGAATAATTCCAGCTAGAGTTCGAGCTGGTGACCGAAGTGTACTCGCCGACTTGCTCAAACATTCCCCTACCTCACTGGAATACGATATGGAAACAATTGAAAATTTCGAGTGCAGTTTGTACACAGCCATTTCTGACTACACGCTCAGGATTAGACAAATGATGAATGTAAGTCAAAATGGTTCAAAAAATGACAAAATTCTTATTTTCATCCTTTTTAAACCCATCTGATGATATTGCGACACACTCGTGCTACCGATGAAAGATGGAGGGTTCTTGAGCGGTGACCAACCCGAACTAAGTTAAAAGAGTAAAACCTCCATTTAGTTCCAAGCGACCTCCTGAACTTTTCCGGAAACTTCCTGAATATTAAACAATAACGACCAAACGCTGCAAACGGGCTCATTAATTTCCGTATCAATCCTCCATCGGATGTGGTGGATCAGAATCTATTTGTAAGTCTCATCAAGAGTATACACCACCACACCAAAACAACCAACTGCTGCAAACAAACAACCAAACAGGATCATTAAGCAGATATCTAGCGTACCCAGTACATGCACCCAAACATTTTGAGTCGAGTAGGCATTTTACTGGTTTTGTCTCTCCTCTAAATGGTGAGGGAGGCATTTCTCAAGTGAATTAGACAGGAAAAATAGCCCATTCCTTGGTTGTACATATATCATGCACTTAGAAGCCCTCATAACCGTTATCAGCATTACACAATCGAACTGAGGAAAGTGCGACCCACGTTCTACTGTAGAATGATATATTAAACTTTTACTCCTTCGTATTTCGATGCAAGATGATCCAGAAAACATAGGTGCTTCCAGCACGTGCTCGTGGGGTGGTTATGTCGTTCCCGTTTGCATGGTATACGAATGTTCTCCACAGTCCGATTTTGATAGGGGTGTTGGATCCATATGGACTCTAGCAAGAGTACAAATTGTGACCTGTTATTTGTTCGTTTAGCTTGATCTAGAAAAGACAGGAAAAAACTGTAGTAATGATATGGAATGGTATTCATTGAAACCTACAGTCACCAATAACAATTTAAATCCAGATAATCTGGTATTCATCCTCGAATTGCTGGAGCTAAGCTTAGAGGGATAACAGAAAATTTGGAAGCCCTACAGACATGCAGTTGGATCAAAGCAAGATTTTAAGCTGACTACACATTCATTTATAGCACGTGAAGACACTCATTCTATTCACGATTTCTTTTGTGATCATTACGTCACTAATTTCTTGGTGCAGCCTCCTGGAAACACATATATGATTTAGTGACATTACTTTCATCTAAGCGGCTAAAGTGTTGTCATTGCTGGATGTTGTTTCCTTACAGGAAACCTGACTAAAAACCATAAAATTATCCCACTTTAATCGTTTATGACCCCGCTCTACTAGCATATTTTTTTCTCAAGGAGAAATGCTCTCAATCGGTAGGACGGTATCCGGAACAACTGTGTTTCATAACAGTTGAAAAACACCCGAATGTTTTAGGTGAGATTTGAACATGACGTTTCTATTTGTCGTCAGACGTGTTTGGAATAAACCATACAATTTGATCTTATTCTACTCGAAGTGATGATTCTCTCATCTCAGCATCCACTTTTTAACCATTCTGTTGTCGTTACCAGTATTCTTATGGTCAGCTTCCACACAACCATCACTTGCGTGCTGTCGACCTCGGCAATATTCTAACTACACGGCACGATATCTTCTACTACTTAATGATCTTCCGTTATATGGCTAGTTCACAAACGGGTTTATTCTCATCTCACTTGGCGTTACACATGTGGTACCGGCAAGATATTTTCCGATAGGAAATTATCAGTTAAATCGATTGAAATTTTCTCATTTGCTGGTGAAATCCTTCTTGGGCCACGGGACACTCATCCAAGTATTCTGCGAATGCCTTGCCTAATCTGTAAGTCAGTTGGTAAGCAGTAGCAGGCTTTTACCTCTAATCCGCCAGTAAGCATCTCTATTCATTATGATTTCGGGCCCGGCAATGTTGTAGTCAATGTCTCCCTCAGTGGCAACGAATCATTCCCAAAACATTTGCCGCGCTTGATGAACAGGCAGACATTTATTTCACAATACTACTAACCAGCAATACTTAGGCTCGCTTAAGGCGTTGTTCCACGTTCAGGCAAAAAGTGTAAAGCCCTCTCCGTCATCTACAGTATTTGGATTTATATTTGTTCTGCTCTGAATCTATCTTGATGGGAGCAGCTGAAAAATATTCTTTATTCTGGATACGCTCTTTGACTATTTTGCCAAACAGGGTACACGAAAGGTTTTCGGTCGTGTCGAAGGCCGAAACGTTGGATTGTTAATAGATGCGTCAAATGTTAATCTTTCTCATGGGAGGAGAAGGGATTTGTACACCCATCTTTTACAACTACTCAACTCCCAACTTTCTGAGGACCAAATCGATAACTTCTATTTGGCTACCTATGGGACACGAGTGAATACCGTTTGGCCATGTCCAATGACTTCAAACTGGCGTGTTACGGAAGATGCAAGACGTTTCTTACAAGAACAGTTAGTACCCTCTGGCTGCTCAAACATGCTGAGTGGTATTAAACATGTGAGTTTATGTGAAAAAAACTCTTTAGGGGGTTAGTTTGTTGAATGAGTATTTTGTTGTAAGTTATGGAGGAATTCGACACTTATCGTCAGACGCCGGATCTCTATCCCGCATCAAGGTCGAAGCCGGCAGTTCACTATATATGTGCGTTTTGGTGCTTAACTGTCGTTGGATTAATAATATTTTGATTCAGTGTGGCAGTGGCATGGAGCTCGTTTAGTTTTGTGTAAAAATCAAACACTACTAGAATGACCAATGTGGTTTTTGCCTGGTTATTTCATACACAGGTTCTGGTCATCGTTGTGCAGTACTATTATCATGCCATCGCTGCTGTATGTGTTAACCACTTTCTGATCCTACCCTCACTAACACTGATTCTTTGCCTTTTTAAGTCAAATCTCACTCACCGATCATTTTTATTTTTAGATAAGAGAATCAAAATCCTCCCCAGCTAAAAGCAAAAAGCATTCTCGATGATATAATGTATTGTAAGAGACTGATGTTTGCATTAATGAAAGGACGCCGGAGTAACATCGCCATCGATAGGCAGATGAAGACAGGGAGCATAACTACTCAAATTACTTGCAACCGTCTGATTCTATGTAGAGCCTGTTGCTACACCAAGATCAAACTTGAACAACCGAATCAGTTGGCTTTTCGCCCTAAAACTACATATACAACAGCCAAACAGCGGTAGCCGGACTGTCACTGCAGAAACAGTATGCAGCATAATTCTCAAACCCAAATTTGTGGAGCCCTGAAGCTACTTTCTGGGTCTGTTTTCAATGGTTAGCATTGGAAACAAACCCAAATTCTACACAATAAAACGCAACCCATTTGGTTATTAATATGTGTGAACCGTTGTGCCGCAATAAGCCTCAAGGCAGTCGCCAAGGGAAGTATGTGATCTTTAACCACGAGGTTTATTTCACGTGGGGTTATGAGAAGCCAGCTGCACTATGGAAGATTTTCCAGTAGTTTTTCGGTTCGAGGCAACTATGTTTCTGGTGTGTCTGAATCGAGTTATGGCCGAAAGATTATCACTGCTAACTAGTGCAATTTATATGACTGAGCTTTAAAATCGCAATGCAGTTATTAATTGCCCTAACATCCAGCGTGATCCAAACTCACCACGTTGGTCTCTCTTTTTCAGATGTTTATGTTCGGTAAACGGCAACTGGACTGTATTCTACTTATTTGTGGAAGCAAGCCGGATCAACCGAGTGATATCATCATCGATTACGTCGACCAAATGTTGTCCTCCTACAAAGCCCCCCGTCTTCATGTGGTTGCCTACGACTGTGGTTACGACCCCGGGTTGAACCAGTTTCTAGCCCGTTTGGCTCGCGTCCGTCAGACGAATACTTACCACCGCTATGCAGCCAACGATGAAGCAGCGGTTTTCGAAAGCGACGAGTTTGCTCAATTAATCGGGGAGATCAAAGAGGCCCAGGCGAGTGCAGAGCTTGTAGTGCCACACAAACTAGGGGGTGAAAAACTCGGAGCCATAATTCATTAATGCTTTAAGCTACTGCTACTGCTACTGACTCGATCATCGGTTTTGAGCTGGAATCCGATAGTGCAGTGGTCAAAACCGAAGAGTAGCCTGATGTCCGTCAAATTCAGTCAAAATCGCGTATCAAATAACTTCTACCTATAAAAAGTTACAAAGTTTTGGCATCCCTAGTCATTTTAAATGTGCTTTTCGATCTGACCAGACTGATTTTGGGCATGGAAGACTTTCCCGGTCGATTTGGTGTCGAAAGTCAAAAAAGTATTTGAGAATTTGCTTGGCTCTTGTTTAGCACACACTATTGCACCTTCCATGATATCAGCACCCTGTGAATATTTATAGAAACTTGAGAACTGATGTTCATTAGGGTTTGTAAAGATAACCGATTTTGTACTTTTTTACCCCCAACCCTCAATCACTTGGGGTAGGCTTATTCAGATCTTCAAGACCACAGGCTGTTCACGCAGCTGAAAATCTTGTTCATTGTTGAAAGCAAGGAGGTTTTTAGCTTTTGGTCTATTTGCTGACTGAATTGTTCGTACAAACCGTGATTTTCTTGCAGTGGCTTAGCTGTTATTCGAGGCTAATTTAGATGGCTATCATGTGGTCTTTGTATCTGTCGACTAAACGACTAAGCGCTGACGCAACAACCACACGCTGATCATTTCGCTTGGACATCTCAGTTCACAATTCAGGAAAATTTGAATACACTACTTTCATTAAGACAGATATTAATGGAAGCCGTAAAGCAAAGGATTATTGCTTGATTTCCACTAAACCAGAAGTGTCTCCTTGTCAGAGGCTAGAGCATCCACTCACCGCCTTCTTTATATGTAGCATTCCACAAGCAATTGTTTTACTTTGTTTGAACTACCTTCGTAATTTATGGTTTGTGAAGTTGATTTTTTTGTTTATGAGTTTCCTTGTTCCGTATCAGTTCTAATGCAAATTTCAAAACGTTAACCTGGCGGTTTCAAGCAAAGGAAGTAATGTTCTAAGTAAGGACTGTTGGACAGCCGCGGACCATATATATACATATATATATATACACATATATATCCTCCTTGGATGGCAGGATCTTTACATCCTCTGGCCAGATGACTGGCTTCTTTGTGGAAACCAGAAAGGACGACATTTGTCATCTGTGCCATGTAGAAATATTGCTTCGCATTTTCCCATAGTCATGCTCTTACCAGACTGTACTTCAGTTAGCATGCAGCATTTAATCTATGTTGAACTGCTGAAGATCGTCACCACCATCATTATTTTTGCGCACTATTGTCATCACTTCACTTCTGTCGAATATTAAACAATGACATACCACTAATTATTTCAAATTCGACTTCCTTAGTTAGGAGTACTCTATCAGTTAGGCACTAGGCTAACACTCTGATGCTTCTGCTTTTCCAGGAGGTTATCAACATCGTTCGGAAGATTAGACTAAAGAAGGAGACGCTAAGGAATTCACAAGCGCTTCCATTGCAACAGTACCCAGGATCTCCCGGAGGGTTACCCATTACAGGTGCTCATCATTTGCCTCAACCACTGGATATGTCATTGCTCTATGGTCCTCTCACCTTAGCAGCGCTCCGCGCATCCTCATCCTCAACCAGCGACGGGATTTGGAAACCAAGTTCATCACACGACTGGCTCAGCAGACATGGACTGAAGGCCCGCAAACTAGGACTATTCCAGGTTGGTCTGTATATTAGACTGTCATAAACTGGGACGGACATTCCGTTTGAAGTAGAGTTTTTTTTAAATACAAGCCGACTTCTTTGCTCAGTTATTAAGCAGTAATTTGACATGGGCTCTGTTGACATAATACTCGCTAGTTAACATAGGTGGGAAAACTTCCCATCTTGCATTCTGTAGACTTGTAAATATTGCTTCTATGTAACTTTGTCCGTGTATACGTAAAAAGCCCTGTATTCTAATCAACAGACATTCATCCGCTCGGTTAAAATTTTGAGTTACTTTTGTTCCATACTGTATATTAAAAACGGATGGGCAAAAGTGCAGAAAACGAGAAAACAACCAAACTGAAGGATAGATCACTTGGTTGTTTACCGTTTCTTCATTGATTCTAAACTACACAAAATCAGGAGAGGTACAACTAATCAAAAGACCTGTTGTGTGAACTCAGTGCTTCCAGGCTTCAATAAAGCAAATAGACATATGCTAATACAGCGTAGTTTTCTTAATTCCCGTTCTACCATCATTATCATTTGATGACGTAAAGTTTTCGCTCCACGAGGGAGCAAATTTAGATAAAAGATAGGCTTATCTGTAAGGTATTTATTCGAAAGAGCAAAATAATTTTCAACAACCGCCCTCTATACACTCTAAACAGAGCTAACAACATTTTATTTTCACAGTTCATTTTAGCGGATGGTGGGGTAGGTGAAATGTCCGCACATCTCCATCTTAGAACCTTGCTTGTCTGATGAATTATTTCAGTCTCTATCAAATGCTTATAAGTTCAACAGTCGGACTAAATTGCAAGTTTATTGTAGGAGGCTTGCGCGGGAAATAAGTGATACACTGAAGTATGCATAATGGACCAGCAAGCAGAGAGAGATGAGCCGGAATATAACAGTAATCGTGAGAAATTTTTATGGGCTTCTACAACTTACAGCCTTTAGGTACGTAAAAACTCAAAATCACAATAGCCAATCTCAGAGAGAGAGTTGAATTCGGTTGATTGATAGAACTGGCCGGCTTTCTAAGGTTATCTTAGTCGGGATGTCCCTTGATCACAGAGCTGTACAGCGCAATGACCTTAATGCTTTTCGGTTCTTCAGGCCAAGATAGATGTATTTGGAAAGGTTGTGAAGGACTCAAACGTTTTACTCAGTTTCCCAAGTCTCGAAATGTGAGAGAACGGTTCTTTGCGGAAATTCTCTAAAAGCCTCATTTATTATTCTAAGAGGAAAAGAACGTGCGTGCACGAATTCCGTACTGAAGCAGTTCAGAGATACGATTCTAAGTACGGTCCGAAACCACACTAGAATAGAACGGTGTTGAGGTGAAATAAGTTTTTTCTCCCTTCAATTCTCAAAAATCGGAGAATCACTTGTCCGCCGTACGCAGTTTGTCAACAACGAACTCGGAGTGGCTTCTTCCCTTATTTTTCAAATACCCTATTAACTATTAACCAGCCATTAGTAGCAAAATTTATCTCGCATTACTTGATACCGCGATGCTAAACATGAGCACCAATTCACATCTTCAAATAATCGAGCATGTTTGTGGTAAAAATCAGCTAAACTACCTAGACCTTAGAACATTCGAAGCCCTTTGAAAATCCCAACATCCTTTAATGATTATTTATATAAATACTCTAACATAATTGCTCCTTATTTGCCAGTCTGAGGAGATTTGGGAAATTTAACTCGTCTTCGTCCTGTAAGTGAAGCTGGAAAATCGGGAAGCACTGCATAAGTATGTCAAGCATATCAAACTTATCAGCAGTGCGTATATCATTAACCTCCAGAGGACCGGGACCCGCGGCCTCGAATAGAAATTCCAAAGTCCAATCACGTTACCAACAAACAACAAGTAGCTAAGAAACAGAACAGATCACATGATGAATGAGCCTTCCACCTGAGAGTACCTCGTTCGGATAGCCGGTCAGATGAGTTGGCTTTGAAATCCATGGTTAGGGTACCTCCACCATCGTCAGCAGCAGCTACAAGGACCACGTACTTGCCGTACAGCGACTCTAGCTGCCACAGTTCCGTTCACTGGTGATTTGGGAAGGGGGATAGGTAGCTGCGCATAGGAGGCGAGAGCTGATAAATCGGTGCGTAAATACAGAGTTGTCAGTGGACTTTCAACTGGCGAGATTTGGAGGGGGATATGCCTTGAAGGCAATAGTTTGATGCACCGGCGCCATTGAGGATGGGACTGGACCATGTCTGACAATGTCTTTAACCGTCAATGTGCCCAGGCTCGGTATCCCTATCCAGGGAGACGGCAATGACTACCGCAACTGAGTTTGCTCGTAATGGATTTCGTACTTTACTGCCAACTAACTATTTGGCCTCTCGTGGGTTTAGAAAGGTGTTATTTTGTTTACTGTTAGTTGAAAGTGGGGGTTGCATAAGGCCATTTGGTCATGTAACCGACAGCCATATGACCCAGCAACATTTGCTTGCGTGTTGGGAAGTGGTTGGGAAGGGACGACGGTGGACGGAGAACTGTGAGGGCAAATGATACTTTCAGGCTGAAGAAGGGGGGTTGGTTGATTTATCACACCTTGAGCATTTGACTCAAAAGTCTGACCCACAAGTCAGTGGGAGAATTGTAGAGTTTTGTTCGGGAAACCTGCTTCTAGCCTCTGACTCAAAAGTTTGACACGCGAGGCGGTCGGCTTTAGGGTTTGCTTTGGGAACCCTTTCCGGAGACGACGAATCAATATTTTGATCTGTTTGGGTGTTGAGGTTTGGCCTAACCAAAGGGCGCAATGAGTGAGGAATTACTATCTAGCGTCCGATGTGGCTGAGAACAGCGGATGCCTTTCAAGCAGCACCGGATATTTTGGTTTTTAAAATTTAGTTAACCGTACTAATAATGTGCCGGCGGTCTCGCATACCTATTGGATGATAAAAACGGACGGTTTTTAGGGCTACACTTTTCCAACCCATCCTTCCTCTGGGGAAGGATGCAGCATAATTGCTTCTCCCATAAATATGGGCGGGCTGGTTGCCCGGGATAGACGCCTTACTGCCTCCACACTCCTATCACAGAGGACACTAAGAGTTTACCCGCAGATCGCCTGGGGGCACGGTTTCTCGCAGTAACGACATAAGCTGTTTTTAACTGGCCTGATCTCCATTGTCCTTCTTTGGATAGTTGCACCTTGTGGAACAATATTCCAGCCGGTGTAGTCTGTGGGATCATTGAAGCACTCAGGCCCGACCGCTAAGATAACTTAGTGCTTTGACATAGATGAAGTAGCGCACGACGCACGCTCACTCCTTCATCTGGAGTTGATAATCCATCCTTGCTGCTGCAGTTTGGGTTGCGAAAATAAGAACGTTTCTGTGCTCCCGGATGTCTTGACCTCATTGGGCTGACAATCACAAAACAACAAATATATAAAGGGAGTTATTTTTGACACAATGAATACATATACTAGAGGGTAGATATTTGTGACAAGCTCCGGCAATAAACACTGCAATCCACAGTGAGGTTGCTGCCTCGGTTAGTCTACTGGGATCAGCTTCAAGATACCGCTGATTATCGACTTCTGGAAGGTGTACTTGATGACACTCGTATATCACTAGCAGTATGATCTTTCCCAGAGTTGCCCCCAATCAAAGAAAGTCCTTCAGATAAATGTAGATACCCAGGAGTATTTCGAGCAAGCACAATTCATTGGCGCAGTCCTTTGTATGTTGGGACGACGAACTTTTATGCCAGAAGGGCACTTTCAAATACTTGTTAGTTTTCACGAACGTAACAGGACCTCAAACACAATAAGTGAACCTTAAAATTCAGGTATGGCTTAACGCCTTCTCAGGCAGACAAATCTTATAAGCTCATCTAGTGAAACCACAGGTTGGTCCTTGTGGTACTAAAAATTAACATATATATTGTCTTATTTTTACTCATAGACCTAGAGCAAAGTTAAGAATCATGGTCCAACGGATCTATAAATGCGGAAGCACCTGACAGGCTCATAGATGTCCTAATTTGGTTCGTATTGAAGGTTTCATTAGGAATGTTGCTCCTTCATCAGCTCCATCGTCACTCTCCTAATCCTGTTATTAGGTGCTTGCTCCGAACGCCTACTCACAAGTCATGGGCTATATCGCTTCAATCGGGCGTTCAGTCACTGCTCAGATTCACGAGCAATGCATGACACAAGTACGTTGGCCAGATGGAACAGTCAAGAACGTTCATGTGGACCTGCCTCAGTTGTTTGAATATCAGAAGCAACTACGAGAATTGGTAAGTTTTGACCGACGATAGGCACACAATGGGCCCTCGACAAAATGATTTCACCAGAAATTCGGTTCACTTCTTCCGGAGTAAAAACATTAGACCACTCTAAGCTGACCACAGTGTTTTTTACTTTCTCGCTATTTCTCTGAAAACCTAGAGATGTTAAAATCACTTTAGCTGCAAAATTTTTCGGCTGAGGGGAGGCACAGATTCCGGTGTAAAATTTTCCTCTGCACCCTGAAATCACTAAGTTTACGAACAACGCTACGATGTGTAAATTTTTAGACTGAACTTACATGGATGATGAAAGCTAACGGTTAAAAGATAGTTAACTCCATAATCCGTACAACGACGGAAGTGCTTATTTACATTGACAAAACTAAGTGGCCATCCTGGTTTCCAAACACGAATTCTACCTCCTCAGTTATGGAATTTTGTAGCTTGGGGAAGTTACGGAGAATCAAGTTCACAGACTGTAGCTCCAGCGATTGTATCTTTCAGTGTGTACACGGCAGATAAGTAACAAAAGTGGTTGTGAGAAAATTCCACGATCAGATTTTGGGTCTCTACTAGCTGGTTGATGAGACCTAACTGTTCAAGGAGACCGCAGTCAAAGAACAACAAGCTGATTGAAATTTATCAGGAACCAGAACGAACGAGAGTTATCTTGAGGAAATCTTTCCGCTTTTATCATACATCAGAGTCTCTATGTATGTGATGCAATCTAAAGTTTGGCACCAGGATTCCGTAGGTTCAAGGGGCTTAGTCTACAACATGAAACTCATAGTAGCCAAATTACTGGTAATGACCAGAATGCATCAGACAACCACAAGCCGAAACCCTAAGTCTGCTGAATTAGACTATGGCACGCTTCTTCGTTTTGACAGCATCCATCACTTTAGAATTTACAGTATGCTCGGCCGTCAGAATTCTGAAGCCAAACGTATGCAGCTTCCCTGTTTTTCAGGGCCAAAACTTCAAGGTGGTGCTTTACGTACTAGTTTTATTACGTTTAGTCAATAGTCTTAACAACAAGTTCTTGGCTGCTCAACCACCAAATCGAAGCCAGAAATTGTGTGGCTTTATTGCGACCTTTTTAATTCTACCTTGGGTTTTATGCAGCCTACAAAAGTTGTGAAAACAAATTAGACAGTGTGATATACACGTATCACTAAGCACAGGATTTCAGGGTTTCCGAGCTATAAGTGGGGAGATAGACTAAGAACACAGAGTTGCCTTCCGATCTCAACTCCAGATGTGTCTGGCAATGCCAACTGAAGCCTAGTTTAAAATTTAGGTGGTAGAATTTATTACCAGTTGACTGCATTGCCGATGGTATGCTTGAAGATGATAACCATTTTAAACAATGATCTCCGGGCAATAACCAAGTATACAGAGTTCAAGTCATATACTTGTTGACTGAATACGTTTCGGTAAATAGGACCAGTGGTGTTAGTTCTAGAAGAAGTGGTTCACAAATCGCCATTCTTTTGGTAGCTTAGTTCCAATTCTCGTTCATAAAGAACCTACAAAATCTTACTTACATATACAGATCTGTCCACACAAAAACAAAGAACACACTGTCACCTTTATTCAAAATCCAAGCAGCTCCATAAATAGGTAACGAATGACTAAGCGTCACAAAAAGATGATATTATTGGTGTGGAAATAAGGGCAAATTAATCATCCATATACGTTCACAGGTGACGACGATTAGTTTCACACTTATTCACAGTCTGACATGCTTTTGCCGCAAAGAGCGGATTCCAGTTGACCTTACTCCATTGTAATATTATGAAAGAACCAGCTTAACGGACTCGCACAATAGAATGACTGGTCAATAGAATCAAGCAGGTAGACTTATTCACACTGAATTCGACAATATCATCATGGATAGCAAGACCAAGAGTACAGTGGCAAACGAGGAAAACATGACACAGAGGCTGGTAATGGAGTACAAAAAGTCAGCACAGTGTAGAATGCTGCACCACACCTTACCGTTCAGCATATTCTCCCCAGATTTAAGAGGAGGCCTGAAATATGGCAGTATGTGGTTGTTATTCCAAACAGATGGATCGTCAGTTATCAGTTAGTCATCATTTAGCAGCTCATCATAATGTGGGAAAGGTTATTCTGTTCAAGATAATGATACGACAATAGATTAGGAGGAAGATCACAGCTTATTAAAGTTGATGAATTGATGGGTACCATGATGCTTTACAAAAGGTCTTTCTGTATTCAGTTTGTGTAACCTTTTGGTGAATTTTAAGAGAACGGAAATGTAGAAAAAGCTGGCTGCGCACTTTTACTTCATGTGTCCACTTTCACTAAAAAAGCTCAGAATAGAGTTGAGCGCCTGTTACAGTGGTAAAAACACGAGAAATCACAAAAACGCCGCCAATTATAACTAAAAGGGGAAATAAGAACTAACGAAGACATATGAAGAGTGACTCGGGACTAAGTTGATTTGAGCTAGTAATCAATATTTTCCTAGGTTTTCTAAAAAACTGGATACTCTAGTCCTCTGTTCAACCTATAAAACTTCACTGCGGATAAAGGCTCAATTTGCTTTCCTCAGCTGAGCACAAGTAATCCAGAATGAAGTAGTTTACCCAGATCTGGAGTACATTTACTTGCAAGTGAAAACGATTCTTCTGTGGAATATGTTGTCCGTCAGCATCTTTCTTGATTAGACTCTCTTTCCCCATTGGGTCCTCAATAAAATCAAGCAAACGTACATTTTACTCATTGGGAAGAACGTAAGTTGTTTTGTTTGTCCTTCAGGTCAGTCTGCTGGAGAAAAGAGTCGCGTGGCTAACAAAAGGAAGCCGAGGATACTTTGGTACAGTGATTGAACCCCACGTTGTGATTGTAATCGACTTATCTCAACAGAACTTAATCTACTTGGTACACATTCAGTATTGTCTGCGGCGTGTTCTGGAAGAACAGATTGCTCAGAAAACTACATTCAATCTGATTTCCATTGGATCTACCACACAAGCTTTTCGTACGACAAGGGTACCGGTGTCTGAAGAAAATTTGCAATCTGCGTGGGAATGGGTCAAAAGTTTACGCTGTTATGGAAGCCGTAACTTGCTTGCAGGTCTGCGGTAAGAAAGCGTTAGGATAAGACTAAACTTCTCAAAAGTTTCGCTGTTATGGAAGCCGTAACTTGCTTGCAGGTCTGCGGTAAGAAAGCGTTAGGATAAGACTAAACTTCGGAATGTCTTTTATTTCCCATTTCTGATAGTAATAATGGATGAACAGAGTCCTCCGTTTGATTTAAATTATCCATTCCCAAGTAGAATATTCACGGTCTCAATAGATTCTATACGTGACACGGGTTCGTTCCCTGTGAGTACCGATATTGCATTCTACTGCGTCCACGGTTAAGCTGGCAAATATTAACTACTGGCCATTTTGGCACCGATACGGCAGTGAAGCATCGGTGTTGAACACTGATGTCATGCTGCCGATGATGATGATGATGATGATGATGATGATGATGATGATGATGGTGATGATGATGATGATGATGATGATGATGATGACGATGATGATGATGATGATGATGATGATGATGATTGGGACCGATGCATAGGCCATGTAATTGTCGACCGTTTTGACAAATGATGATAACTTCTTACGTCTGAGGTGTGCTAGCTTTGAGAGTTGATGGCTCACTCGTCCTTTTAGTAAAGTAATCCAGTATATTATTTTCTCAGTATTCGAATTGTGGGAAGATATTACTTAGAAGGAACACAACGAAGTGATGTATGCTTCCACTCCGATCTTCTGCGACCAAGAGTCCTATTCATCAGAAAGTTTTACCGAACAATATCTCTTAGAAATTTAAACATCTGTCACCGGAAGTGTCAGATGAAAACTCCCGCCGATTCTCAACGTTAGTCAACAAATTTTCGCAAAAAAGACAGGTTTTTTGTTAGGAGTTTGCTGTGGCTTAAGTTAGGTAGATATAAGCAACCGAGAAAGGTTGTAAGACTGTCCGGTCCTTGGCTTTGAGGTGAGCATCTCATTGATCGTAAGATGGGTTATTCCGGTATCAATTAAACCTTAGCATTCGATTAGTGAGTGTTAATCAGCAGTGAACCGACTGCCTTGCGTATAAGCCTAATCAGTGCGTGTCCGTAATCATCACCGCTTCATATTTTTTTGAAAACAAATGCTTGAAACTTGCCAGATTTGAGCGGCGCTTTTGCCGTCAGATGTGAGCCATCGAATAGATCGCGAGATCCTTTTCATGTCTACACAATAGAAATTAGCCTATTTCTCAGGAGTACACTGATTTGATCCGCTGCTTTAATATCAGATTTGCACTCGAGAATGAGGCAGAGAAGGACATCAAAGAAAGCCCGCAGGGAATCTACTTGTTTATCTCAGGCGTTCCGGACCAGGAAGAGGATGTGATTACGCCCTACCTGGAACAGAAGCGTTGCACCTTTCCAAATCTTCGCGTCCACGTCGCCTTCTACAACGGAGAGGATTGTGATAGTGAGCAGGTTCAGGAAATTCCAAGTCGCTACGCGAGTGTAACTAAAACCGCATCAGTCCTACGGTGAGTTCGATGGAAAACAATGATAACAATTGTTTGGGTTTCTAGTTCTAATGTATTCATTCAGTTGTATTTTCTTCGACGTACCAAAATTTCAGCTGTCTTTCTGTCTGACGTTGCCTATCACAGTAAGGTTTGAAACGAGTGGATGGTACCCGTTTTTGTGAGATTTCTTTTTCTATAAAGCACTGTCCGTAGACGCCCATGGTTCCGATATTTTTTCATCTTATTTAATAGATGTTAGTCTACATGAATTCCGTGAACTTGACTATCAATGACGTCAGTTTAAATACACCAATTTCAAACTATTATGTCGGTGACCGCATAGTGGCACGATGACGAGTCAGAACCCATAGTGTGACATAGAACTGAACGAATTCACTGTATTCTAGGCCAGTGTAATGTATTAACTGCAGCTCAAGCGTGAACAACTTCACCTACTCAGTTGAACTTATTTAAATGTTAGGCATGCAACGGTGGAGTTTAAAACCCCGGCACGATCAAGGATAATGGTGAGCTTTATTAGCCAGGAAACTCAAATCTAGTGCTTCCTTCTTTTTATTTGGAATTGCTGGAATAATTATGCCAGGACAGAGAGAGGAAGGTAGAGCTTTATAACGAGAGTGATGCAAATTCAATGGGTCACTCAGCTACCCACAAACGAAGCATTTTTATTAATAGACGAATGATTGCATCTAACTAGTCTCTGTCTCATTGCCGTTGATGTGTGGCAAAAATGGAACTGTTGATTGATTTTCATGTTATGATCATCACCATCTGTTTCTCAGAGAATCTGCGTTGATGGGCCTAATTGTTGCATGGCCGGTTGTACATATACCCTTGCTGAAGGCAGCAGAACAAAGAACAACTTTCACCTTGACGGCCTGCCTTCGGAGGTTTCTATGCACTATGTGAACAGTATTCACAATTCACATATAGAATTCACAGACTAAACTGTAGTATACTTAAAGCAACCCACCGAATGCTTTAGGTAGAATTAAGCCTTTCTACTGGCTTCACTCGTGTCGCAGTTCGATTGGATTTGATTTACGAAGTGAGAATCACCCTTGTGGGGCAAGTCACAGGGTGATACTGTACATAAAAGCGGTGCCTTCCTTTCGAATACTTGGATTAGATTTGGAAGTTATGGTTTACCGTCCACGAGGCATTCTGGGTGACATGCGTCTCAACCTGTTCACAGGCTCCGTGCGTGTCACCTAGTTTATAAATTAATTCGATGAGGGAACACAATCCTTCAGCTCATCCAACCAGTTTATTATGCAGCTTCCAGAACATCGTTCCGAGGGTAAATATCCAAGGAAGCAGAAAGGTTTTGTCTTTCTGGGGGCGACATCACCCCTTGATGGACAACTTACTCTGTGATGGCTGGCATATGAGACCGTTATTTGGACGGACAACTTTACATAAACTGTGTGGGAAGTACAGCGGTTTCCTCGAACTAAGATCGCTCATGAGAGTGGTTATGATGACCTTCGTCGGATGTGGTTTCTCTTGAGGCCTATTAATACCGTACGTCTAAGCAGATGGTACTACATACGTTGAATTTTTCACAATCCTGCAATGAAGCAGGTAGAGGAATTTAATTTTACATCTGCTTCTATGGTCAAGGTAATAAAGTCTGTCCGTGAGACAACCTCAATATTTTCTTGCGAAACTTTACTTCCAGAGAAAAAGATAGGAGATTTGTAGTTGGGAGGCCATTTTTCAAAAACAAATCCTGAATGATGCCAGAAATTCAAATTTCAGTTCAGTCTTAAACTTCATCTGATTATAAATCCTTTTACTTAACGAAACTCTAGCACCATGTTCAATTAACTCTTCTTCCATACCTTCATAGTACGAATAACTTATCAATCGGTGGAAGCTTTTGTTGGAAAAATTCAGTTTTTTATGAAATGCCACACCGCCAAAATCAAGCCATAACAACCAAAGAGCTGCTGTTCGCACCTCGTGCGCTTAGATAGTTTTTTCCATAAAGAACACATGTATGTTTACGTATTAAATGAAACAATGAGACTGATCAAATTATGCAACATTTGGATGTGACTTTTAGGACATATACCAGTCGGAGCCATTTTGTTGACTGTGTCCAGTACCTTTGTAGTAGTACCTCTTGTTTGTCTTTATTTACTCTTCTGCAAATCTATGCTCAGATCGATTGCGCAGGAAACAGGGGGACGCTTCCACTGGTTCCGTGAGACAGGTATCATTGAAAGTGACGATGTACGTCTAATACTGGACGAAATCGACATGGTGGTGGACTATTCAAGACAATGTCAGATGCTTGTCGAATCGGTTAGCGGAAAGGAACGAATGAAAAGTCCGGACACTGATGGAAAGTTAGTGAGCCTCCTCATGATTTTTAATGATCAAGTTTAATTTTTATGCGTTCTGTTACTTCCTAGATTTCCACAATCCATCTAAATTTCCAAGAGCGTCTTTTAGTAAACTACAAATATAACTGCAAATATAACTTGTAGAATTCACTACATTAAGCTGTACAATAATCCAAAGCCCTGCTACTTGGGAAAAAGCCTAAACAAAAACAGTTAAGGATTGACACTTAAAGACGTCAGTATTCTATGTTAAATGTTTCCGCAAAATGACTAGTAAGCGTCTGTGTCCAAAAAATGGTTCATATCAGTCGACTCTAGACATACGAAATTTGGTTCACCATCAGTATACGCGTTGTGTAGGTATTATCTCCTAGTACTTGGGAACCAGCACTGCCTACTTAAACATTGAGCAATCCCTGGTACTGTGAAGCGCAACTAAGGACTTTATAAACACTGTTCTTACTGATTTTGGATCAATATTGATTAATACTGCCTCTTCGGATGGGCTGATTATGAACAAAGAGATGGTTAGCCATGCTGTTTCACCGAATCCAAATGTGACCGATATCATTATTACTCTAATGTTGCTTCGATTTCCAATTCTGGTAGACTCTTGTTCGAGTTTTCAATATTAATTTCTCTATACAAAATTGGACGTCGGTATTGATGACGACGATAACATTTTTGACGAGCATAGTGACGCCGATTGTGAATCGGTACTTATAGTTTCGCAAACGCACATTGAGATTTAGGCTCCTCTAGATATTCCGATGAATCATAATGTCGAGTCCAGATGTGAACAACATTGTTATTAGTCCGATGTTACTTCAGTTGCTGATTCGGGTGGACTCTGGCTCTAGTTTATAATATTACTTTCTCTTTACAAAATCGCCCCTCGGTGTTGATGATGATGATGACATTTTTGATGAGGATAGTGACGCTGATTGTTTTTCGGTACTTATAGTTTCACAAACACACAATGAATGAGATCTAGGCTCCTCTACATATTCCGATGGTTCATCATGCTGGGAGCCCTACGTTGCTCAGTCCACCGCAAAATCACACACGTTAGGCGGTGCTTAAATTTAACTGGCCTTACAGCAGCAGCCTAGCAATTTACCTTCCCTATTTGATCAAAAGTAGTACATTATTTGGTCTCCACAGTAAGTTGCTGTGGAAACCAAAGTGCACTTCTTGGGTAGGATGAAGTGGGACGCGTCGAACTTAAAAAAGTCATCATATTTCTATGCTGATTTTCCTACCAGACTAACAGAGTATCTTCCTGACCCATATGTGGTTGTGCCTCACAGGCAGCATTCATTTTAAATAAAGGTTTAATGGCTTGTGAGAAGTGACGTGAGCGGCTGACTTCTTTGTCTCCGTACTGATTTGTATTCTGAGCCTTTCATCCTGTGATACTGAAAGGTTTGCAAGAAGTCAACGTGCGTCGAGGAGCAGTCACTCGAAATCGATCATTTATATGCGTCCTTGAGAAAACTTTTTTTGGTCAAGTAGGGTCTTTCTAGTCGGTATTCCTTCGTTCATGTGAAAAGTACACTAAGATCATGTTGTTTTTCTTCTCAAGATAATTTCCTGCCTATAAGTTATTCACATAGAATTTATTGTGAGTTGATCTTAGACGCCGATGATGATCCAGTAGTCCAGTCATTCCCAACTATTTCCAACGGCCTGAAAGTGCAAATCTGAGCAGCGTTTTGAAGACAGGAATAAGCTCGACTCTGGCATGCATATAACACGACTAAACCATTGTGACGGAATTCGTAGTCCATACATGAGGCTTAGTTCGAAGATTGAATTCTGGGTGCTCTTGCAGAACCATCAGCAGCATGATGTTACACTGGACTCTTGTTTGTTGCCCTGTCTGGTAATTTAGGGGTAGTGATGGAGTTCAGGGACCAAAAACAATCAACATATTTCATGATTTATTTGTTGACACTGAGTAGTCTAGAATTACATCCTTTTTCAGAATCTATTTTCAGTCCAAACGGCACGGCTTAATGACCAATGAAAACAAAAATAGTTCGCGTTCCTTTACGATATTTGCTGATTCCCAAGGGATGGACCATTCAAATCTTTCGACTAGTTATCAGCATTTTATTGATTTATCTAACTTCTGTCGTCTAATGAACACCAGGCATTGGAAGATACAAAGATTTTACTTCGTCAGTTATTAGTTGCATTTGGCTGCCATAATTTTCGCTCACCATTATACTTACAACAAAAGTGCTTCTGAGGATAAAGCTGAGGTTATAAATCGGAGAGCCATAGTTATCAAAACAGCTGTCCGCATAATTTTTCCTCGGCCGTAACGGGACGACTTTGGTCTTAGTTTAAAGTATCCATCGTACTGAAAGATTCTCGTGCAGCAAACGTTTCACGTGGCGAATGAGTGCTCCCGCTTCCGCTCCAGCCGTTTCGAAGAAACCCAAGTCGACCAAGCCGAATACCCCAGAGAACTACCCAGCGGTAATCGGCCTGACGAAGGCAAAATCTCCTCAACTAATCCGTAATGCTTCCCGGTCTTCTGTTCATAAAAGCATTGTTGAACACTGACTGACTATTTGTAAACCTCTTGAAAAGTCCGAAGTCAACCCATTGCCTTTGAAAACTTATCTCTCTTGCTCAACCTACCAGTTATCCTTTCGGTCACCTATATGATATCATTCCTCCTGCATTGTCACTACAATGAGTTTAAACACAAAGTATTGCCCTCAACTATCTTTGCCCGCCTGTCAGGTGTGATTGATCGCACAAGTAACCAGTGGTTGTTGGGAATAATTCAGGGCAGCTGATGACTTTCAAGTTATAGGATAACAGGCCCACCAATCAAATACCTTGTCATCTCGTGGATAATAATTTCATTGCATATATTTGCACCGGTGAATGGGAATAAGATGGTTAGTTGCATACAGCTCAGCAAGGTGCTTTGTGGAGAATATTGATGGTCAGTCATCCTTGTTGCAAATACCGTATTATTTTGTAGGTCCAATACCCCGAAATCAGACTCTGAAATTTTGACACTTAGGGAGAAACCAGCTAAATCCACTGGTCCGCTTATCCCAAGAATGAATCTGCTCACGACGCGTCGCCAACTTACAGCCATGGACGCGCAACAGCATGTCACCGCAAGATCCTCATCAAAAAAGCTTGCTTTGGAACAGGCAATTGCAACCACACGTGGGAATTCGGATCCACTAAATCCTGTTGGATCAATCCGGGCCGCACATAAGCGTATCGTTTCCGGAAAGCGGCCAAATAGTACGCCTGGAAAGCATTGTGCATTTTCTGGTCGATGTACTGTCCCAAAAGAAGAAGAAATTGTAAGTTTCTCGTGTATTTTGTCACGCGATGGTAATTAGAGTTAGTATGCCTTACCTGTCTTGCACAAACCGTCGACCACTTCCAAATGGAAAGCTCAGCAAGAAAAGGCTAAGTCGCATCCTCAAAATCAGTTAGCAGAAATTTTCAAGAAAATTAAATTTCCTTGCTTGAATTTGAAGTGATACGATAAAAATGTTGAGAAGAATTTTAAATACTGGAAAACCTTATGATGGGTAGGCAAAAGTAAAACGGTGGGACACCAATAAGAGAATGAAGAAGACATCTCCTATATTCATAGAATAGGTGAGGGTAGTGAGATGGATTATGCAAAACAACCAAATTCCAAGAACTGCTTGCTTATACCAACCCAAAAACCTGACCAAAAATTCAAAGGACATGGAATACGGATAGCGGCAACGAGGTCACACACGCCAGTGCACCCTTAACAGAACAAGAATCCTTCGGCGTGGTGATTGGTATTAGTTGTAAGTACTATTCAACCACGATTCTACGGACTGCCTAAATCATCATCAGCATCATCATCATCAAAGACATCAACGTCAGTGTTGGTACTGATGCTTCACTGCCGTACAATGATAAGGCTCGTCTAGTTATATATATATATATATAGTATTAAAAGCCCTAGAGTGAAAAGAAGAGAAAAAGAGAGGGTGAGGGAGGGGACCTAGGGCTGGCCTATGTCAAGCATACTGAGGTGCCTACAGACAATCTGGAAGGAAACTGACGCTACTGACATCGATTTGCCACCATTTCATGCAACGTCTCAGGCCAAGGACAGACGGGGTCACGTGGACCTCATCCTGAAAGGCGTACAAAACCAACAACACACAAATTCTTCGTGATCTCTTTCACGCCCTTCTGCCAAGTCATATGCTGTCCACCTCACGGTCCACGCCATCCTGAAGGAGGCATAGAGAACAACACTCGTCTGGGTAGACGCTGTTTCGGCATGCGTAGCACACGACCAAGCCATCGTAGTCGATGGTGCTGGATGTTTTCTCAGACTGCAGTGCCTGCAGCGCAACCAAATAACCGTTTTCTAATCACGTCGTTACTAACACGCTGACGCCATCCAAAACCAGCCACACTTCTGAGGCATCGGAATATCTAAAATCCACGAGACAAATGTTCCCACGAGGCCAATAGTGGACGGTATGTGTTCGCCACATGAGCTAGCTAGATTCTTAGCTGGTATACTAAAGCGACTTACGGAGAAGTCAAACACGTACATCAGAAGTTCGTACAACTATGTTAATAAATTTACAGGATTTCCTTTGGAGATAGACGAAGTCCTCGCAAGTTTAAACGTCATCTTAGTGTACACGAATATCCCCGGAGAGGATGCTTTTGAGGTGACCAAGAGGTTGTTACTGACAGACACAACACTTAGGAGATAGTTGAGGGTGTAAGGATGTTTGAATCTTGACCAATTTGTTTTTGACAAAGCTGTTTGTTCATAAGGCCAAGGTCTTGCAGTGAGATTTCCATTGATAGCTAGTATTCATATGGAGAATTTTGAACAAAAGGTCTTTTCCTGATATGGCCTTCCACCTAATATGGTTGAGCGCTGTGTTGACGAAACATTTGTTGTACATAAAGGTCAAAAACTTGAACTAGTGTAGAAATAGAGTCTACTCGAGCACACTAACCTTCCTGAACTTTAAGACACATAAGAGTGGGGGGAAATTAAAAACTACTCTCTACCAGAGACTACCAGACACAGAGACCATTCTACACTACCCATCAGCACACCCAAAGTCTGTGTGCGCTAGTATTGTCTCATCTATGTTTAGTCGAGTCAGAGCGCTGTGTCCAGAAGAGCTCGACCGAATAGAGGCTAAGATAAAGCTCAATACCAGATTTCAAGAAATGGGATACTCAAGGAGTTTGGTTAGGCCGCAATTAAGAAGGATATTGGCTCTGGTATCAATACTCAGTAAGGAATGGATTGGAACAGAATTATTCCATATGGAGCACGATCATTGATGGTTATTCGAATACTGCTGAACAGTCAATATGCGAGTAGAGCTCCAGATGGGAAGACGTTGTGCTCAGTTTTGGTGCCGTTGAAGGATCTCCTTCTGAGTGAAAGGAATGGGGGTTGTGTGCATAAAATTAAGTACGTTTTCAGTTAGATTTACGAAGGACGGACAGCCATGGAACTACACACCAGGCTTTGCGAGCATAAAAGAATGGTAAACAAACTACCAAAGAATGTGAACGAATACCAAGCGCTGCTCAAAGACTCGGCGCTGACTGGACATGCGTTAGAAACAGGACATAGAGTGGATGTGGAGAATATACAAGTCTCAAGGCGGGGACTGCGACTCACACCATTGCAACTGTTCTTGCGGCTCATTGGGTGGCTGACGTTGTGGTTCATTAGCTGATCCCTATGTGTCGCTGTCCGGCACATGCAGTCCCATAGTCTCATGTAGGTTCGTTTTCAATAAAACGCCCCACAATTGTAGTTGACTGATCCTATTTCAACTGTATACTTGCCACCGTTAAAAGCAGCAATCAGCTATTCATGTGCCTTGTGTACAAACTCTCTTATCATACAGATAGAATTTTCATCTATATAAAGAAATCGTAGTTTTAGACTGATTATTCTAAGTTTCTTAGTGATAACTCTTGATACTGAAGACCCATGAAGTGCCTTTTAGCTTTTGATATATTTGTACACACAGCTAAACTATATGCCTATGCAAACCTTCGAGGCTTGAATAGACTTTCGGGCTTCACGGTTCCATGAGTTATGATTTCATGCGTCTGGCTTTTGCAGAAGCAATTCCCCTATTGTTACTGTCGCGATACTGCAGTTGACTGAAATGAGCGGTCATGTGACGCCAAAAAGAATGCGAGATTTAATCATCTTAAATACTGAAGTTTCGTAGCTTGTTCAGAAATCGGGCAGCATTGTTATTGGTGTGTTCGGATCCAGAAGTCACGTATTCGAATATTCTCCATAGGTCTTCTTTTAATTTGTAAGATGCAGTTTCCGGAAGGTAAACAGCTGCTCAAAGTTGAGTTCTAACCAACGACAAGGTGGTGAACAACTAGAGGCCTGCAAAATTGAAAGTTGCCAAATCTAAAGCACGCGATCTATATGGTAACAAATTACCTTCTAGAGAGGCGCTTCCGATCTACTAATTCTGCGTGGTCATGTGGGCTGAGAAAACTGAGCAGCTACGTGTAAGCAACTAATCGAATAGAACTAACAGTCTTCTTAGTTTACACCTTGAAGATTAGCTTCCACCCCTAAAGTAGAGGAAGAACTTAGTCAGCGACAAATACACTCATTTGTAAATCAGCTTGGTTTTCACGGGAGACTCAAGCGAATCTCTCGTTTAGGATGTTCTTCAACTGAATGTGCTCTAGAGAGGCCGCCTCATGTTTCAGTTGGGTTCAAGTAGAACACAAGGTTGACAGAAACTCGCAGACTGTGCTCCAAAAAGGATGAAACCGGTCGTTGGCTGTCGAAGAGTTTTCAACAACCTTGTAAGTAGTTTCCTCCATGAAGGGAACTTAGTCAGCTTTCAGAAAACAGCACAATTGTGGTGTAGACCTTATTGTAGATTACATCGAAAAGACGAAATTACCGTACAGGAAAAAGTTGCTCTGATTTATCTCTTAAGTCTGAATGCACTTTTATGCTATACAGGGGGGTTGGGACTCTAGTTGCCGAATGAAGTTGATCGTAATGTATGCTACTGGCCTACTCGTATTGTGGCATACGTTCTGAGACATCCTATAATGTAACATTCTGGTTGTTCTCTCATTGAGAGTGCCAGTTTTGTGGCTCACATTCTGTTGTGCTCGTGCCCAAAATATGATACTGACCCGCGCAATAACGAGGTTTACTTCATTCCTTAACTGTGTTCCATTCGAATTTCTGTGAACGTCTTGGATACTTAAACACAATCATTGGGAGCAAGAATAAGGCATTTGTAGCCCAACTAATTTGAAAAACACATGGTGCAATGTTTAATAATTTGCATACCTTTCTCTGGCTTTTTGTACACTACCTGTGGGTCATCAGTGACCTCACGTTCATCTTGAAAGCGCTCATCCATCTCTTGGAAATACTTTCTTTCTTGGTGTAAATATACTTTGGGTTTGGTTCATGATGCTGCCTTCCCAAAAGCAACCTTTTTTGGAAACACGTTTTTGGAGAGAAAGGCAATACTGCGGTCCATTTCTCAGTATCCTTATAATATAAGTATTGGTTATTCACAGGAGGTATATCATTGCTTACTAACACGCAATGAATCTACATTTTCCTCATCGGTTTGTTCACATGTTATGAGAAGTATGCCCATTTGGTGATTGTGAAGCATCCTTTTGGACTAAACTGAATGCAAACCGGGTTACAATAGATATTACGTAGAGCCTCTACGGCGTCAAGCTTACGTGCGACCTACAAAATGTTTGATAGCCAAATACTGCCAGGTTGCTGCGGCTACCGAAAGGTGAAGTGTGAAAAATGTACTTGGAAAATGAACGTTGTTTTCAAGATCTCTTACATTTCTATCCCCAATATCTCAAATCCCGAGTTGTCAGTTGATCATTCATTGCCTCCGTGCTTGGATCCAGTCAGCCGTGTGCCCATGACTTGGTAAAGAAATTGATTGGCAATCAATAAGAAAAGTAATCTACAGTAGGCACATGATCGCACTAAATCTGGTCTACTTCCTTAATCGTACCTTATTTCACTTACCGTGATTTAGAGTCGTATAAATGAAAATCTAGTTTTCTGAACCCATAATTCGTTCTCAATATAGGTCACCAGTCGGGATTGGTTAAGAAACTACAGTCTCCGAAGTCTCAATCTGAACTTGAACAAGTTGGTTTCGAATACAGCGTGTCGCCACTCGATAAACTACAACAATCCCACAAGAACTCTAGTCGAAGCCAAATACTGCAACGGCTTGTTTCCTTTGGTGAACATATCCGGAACTCTGCGACATCTCCAGTATACATGGGCTGAACTAGAGGTTTTCAAACACGAAGTGAGTTGCACAATGAATTAGCCAAATTACATCATTAGTGTTTGAGTGAATGTAAGCACGGTTTCTCATCGCGAAAGAACATCATCTCCCGATCACTTATTTGGTATCCGTTACTCGTATGAAAACTTGCTCCTTTTGCCCTGCTTCTTCGTATCCCTCTTCGATAGATCGGGCACCACAGCATCCTTCTCACACTTGAAGCAACCACTTGTGACAGTCGCATTCCAAATACCATGGTGCTCCAGAAACCACCACTAATTAACCCGAAGACGGACGAATAAGTTTTTGACTGGCGAAGCACCAGTAACACGTAAAAATCATTGGTGCAAATTAGTGAAGCCGACAGTGAGGGAACCAAGTGGTCAATGAAACTCGGGTAGAAAAGGCCTGCGCGTGATCGTGTTGGTTAATGACGCTCGGTGTGGTAGAACGTGCGACAGCCCTACGTTGACCCTACAGATCACATACCTGGCCGTTTTCTGTCTACTAAAGTCACATGATCAGGCCCATTATCCAAATCACGGTCTATCTGTCAGGCCCTTTCTCCCCGTCTGGCCTTCATGCCCTCCGTTGCCGTCCCAACCAAGTCCGATGCTTTTTCACTGACCGAACCAAAATTAGCTGCAATGTCCTATTTTCTGGTACTGCTGTTACACTTCACACCTCAACCTCAGTAACCCGATGGTTTTCAGTCTTCAGAATATCACATTAGTTCGGTGGGGATTTCGCTCAAATGCGCGATTTTTCTTGCATTCTTCAGGGATACAAATAACGTCACGTAACAGGTCTAGCCCAGCGCATCTGACTTATTAGCGCCCTGTCTGAATGTCTCCCAAAACCTTAACCTGCTGATCGTACTAGAAAAGTAGTAAACAAACTAACAACTGCCGTCCATCATCTCCCGGGTGGTCCAATTGGTAGCCGTATTAACCACAGCAGATCTGGCCAAAGTTGTTTAAATCATGTCGCCGAAACCAGCTACTCATTCAATTGCTGAAGACTCTTTTGCAGTCCCTTGTGTTCTACTTGAGCCCAAGTTGTAGGCGAATGATTGCTTTCTGCGAATTGCTTCTGTTTTGCTCAACTGGTGACCTAGCATGTCAGCATTACATGACAAAACTTATCACTAAGGTTTCTGATCAAACATCTCCTCTCGCCACAAATAAAAGACTATTCAGTTTCCCAGCACGTTTTGTTTAAATTCCACGATGATGGTCCGAAAGTCAGCCCCGTAGAGTACTGTAGAGGTAGAAGCTGCCAAATGCTCCTGGCTCCAGTTGATCGGATGATGGCCTGGTGAGAAATCCAATACAAATCTTTTGTGTGCAAGGCATTTCGATCTTCTCAAGTGTAAATTTCCCGTTCGAAGTAGCCTGCTGTGCGATGCACGGTCCCAAAATTCACCCCCTCATAGAATCCTTGAGTGATGTTAAATCTGTTAGTCGCGGGCAGACTTTTACCAGTTGCTGTAATGCCCCAAGCCTTACCTTTGAAGAAATGTACAAGAGTCTCATTAGCTTTTCACAATTATGGGTCGTGCAAATGCACTAAAAACCAATGAAAAAGCCAGTTCTGTTTCTCGTTCCGGCGCTCTGTTTCAAAGTTATGGCCTCGTGTTCGAAAACTCGCAACGGCGGAACAGAATCCTAAAAAACTCAAGGAATATTTCATCGATCAGGTTGTTTGTCGACGTTTTATACTGCCAAAACCTGACAAAATCACCCACAACTTACTCGCCAGGAAAGGAGTGAGAGTGTGAAGAACGAGGCTTAGTGGGGTATATTGGAACAGACTACTGCCTTTCAGGGTATGGATTATCATTAGCTTACTATCATTATTATCGAAACATAATATATTGATATTTCGCCACAATGGTGAGCGATTCCATCAGGTTTTTGCTTCGTTTTTAGCTATTGAAGCTGATCAGACGGTATTATGATCGGCTAAGTTGGCTAATTTCCGGGTCCAGACGATTCTTTGGTGTAATCGTTGAGCAGTGCGTCGTGATACTAGTTGACCTGTCGGGTTCCATGCTGCCACATTTGGAGGAACTCAAGTCCGAACTCAAACGTCTCATTTGGGAACAATTATTTAAGTAGGTTCCATGTTTTCACTTATCCTTTCAGTACGTAATACACAGCGTATTCCTGACTATATTCCGTGACGGTACTTACAGTATTCGTTCATTTTACATGCAGACCGGTGACTGTTTGATGTTGCTTAGAAGTACTTGCAGAGATCTGAGGCAATATCTTACAGGATGCATTAAGCTTCAACCCCGTTGTTTGCCCGCCGTGACCTATCTATATGATGGGTGCCTAGTCAGATATAACATTTGTTCCATTAGGTGTATGTGAATGCGGTACTGGTAGAATTCATATCCACGTTACTCTCGTTTGAACACTTCCCCTCCAGTCCCGGTGCAGTGAATCCGCATCAAAGGGAAGGAGCACCAGACTCGAGTTTCGTTCTTAGTAGAATTCCTGAGCATCCCTGGTCATGGTCGGGGTGTGAACTCCGGATACCTGACATGCGAGGCACCACCATCGCAGGTTGGACGTCAGCAAATAGTCATACATCGTTATAACTTCTCTTACAGACAAAATAAATTTTCAGGTAACATCTGAAACTAACAGTGCTACACTGTTCACTACACTCCGTAAGAGCTTTTAAAAACACACTATCATTTATCTGTTTACTCGCCGTTTGGCACGCAGATTTCCTTCAATCACAGTATGCATTCAATAACCCAGCTATCATCAAAACAGCGTAGCAACAAAAGGTATCAACTGAATTTCCAAAGGCGATCTATATCAGCCATAAACTATGATAGAGTTTTTTTGGGCAGTTTGATTTATTGGAGTCTCACAGAGATAGCTGTTAAAAACTGTGACCTTTGAACATTCCGCGGTGTTTTGAGTTCATGTGTTTTCAGGTCCCGATGTGAATTGTGCTTTTGAAGCTAAATGAGGTGTACGCTTCGTAATAACTAAATTGTGTCCGGTCCACATTTGATACGATTTCTGGTGAGATCTTTAACGAGTGGAGATAAAATTCAGTGCTACTGTAATGCTCATGATAGTCGCTAATCCAGAGAGTCTGTACAATCTGTAGGTATAAAACCAATAGTGTTATTGCTTGAAATGCTTCAGTCGAGCATTTACCTGCGAGATATTTCACTGATTAGGACATTTCTATCCGTTGTTCCAGAAACCAGGTGGTTTTCAACCTCATTGCTTTCAACTCTGACCTGATAGAATGGCAGCAAGCTGGTCCTGTGCTTGCAGACGAAACGGCTTGTCATGATGCCATTGCTTGGATCGATCAGCTGGTCGCCGAAGGCGGTACCTCGACAGAAACGGCAATTTGTAGAGCGTTCAGTCATCTGAAAGCAGTTGATCCATATACTGGGTTAATTCCAGGGCAACGTCGTCCAGTATGGATGAAAAACAAATTGGATGATCGGCAAAAGCCTTCTACAGACGATAATCCAGTTTGTGTATCCAAGGGCATCTACGTGATCACGGATGGGAAACCGGATAATAGCTGTGCGTCTGTCCTTAAAGCTGTTTCCCAATTGTGGGATTTGAATCCGACAGTTGTGCAAAAGCAATCGGACCGGAGCAAACGGCCAAAATCAAAATCACACAGAAGGAGCAAACTGCGTAACACACAAGAAAACGAGGGACCACCTATTCACACCATTTCCTTTCCCTTAAATGGGTATGTTGTTCGGTTGCTTTTTGGTTGCTGATCCGTACAAAAATACGAAAACCTCACACAGTGTTGCAGTCCGTTTTAACTACTGAGGTGTTGAAAAGCATTGTGAAAATAAAATGTTGGTTCCTGTTCGGTGAGTCAAGATAAAGTCATATCTGTGTGGTACTTTCCACAAATAGTTTCAGCCTCCGTATCAAAACCACATCTCACGTTGTATGTTTTAGTAAGACGTTTCTGCTAACCGAGAGCCTCGCCATCCTCGTCATCATGCTCACTGTCATCAGAATCACCATGTACAATAAGCTCAGTTTGACCTGTTTTTCTCTATCGCCAGAGCAAGGTTTCCGATTACTCGTGAAGGTTCTGATGGGTATAGGACCAAAACAGAAGAGTCCTTCTGCGACCCTGGCAAAGTCGCTGCAGGGTGTCTACAATTTAAAATACTTACTCAGGTCTTCTGATGAATGACGCCATATCCTGTCTAAATGCAACTTATTCGCACTGCTCAGCAACTGCCCGCAGCCGTACAGTTTGGTCCTTAACTACTTGCCCAAGAGCCACAGGTTCATGAGATGTGTAGTGCTGATGATAAAACAGCCTTACAGCGTTACTCGACATTTCGGAACGGATTAATATCACTTACTGGCCAAAATCTCAACCGAAATAGAGAAGTTACCGTTTGACTGCCCAGCTTTTATTGTAGCAATCTACTCGAGTTCGTGAAATGTTATCAGTGGTGAGTTAAATTCAAAAGGGAGTGAAGTCTACAGCTTTCTTCGCTCTGCATTTGGACAAATGAACAAACATTAGAACGATACATCTCAACTGGAGGCAGACAGCTCGATCTTCTCATACTACCAACAAACAGTCAGTAGCTCGAGAAAGAAAATAATTCATACGACAAGTTAAGGAATATCAATTTTCGGGGGCTGTGACACATGGACGTCAGTAGCTGGCCGGTGCAAACTTCGAAAACAGCCGTTAGCCCGATACATTAGAAATGCTTTCAGAGTTGTTCCCCTATATGCCAGATCAGAAAAATTAATTTCATTCGGTTGACACAAACAGAAAAATATAGCTAAGAAAGGTATATAGTCCACACTATAACGCATTTTGGTTGAGCAAGTGGCGACAAGTATCTCCAGACAAAAAAGTGCAGATAGAGATAGCAGCAGCGGTAAAACACAACTGACAGGAGGGCTGCTGTGGGGAAACGATACAGTTCCCAATTTACTCAAACAGTGAGAGCAGCCCCTGAAAAAAAGATGCATCTTCAAACATCAGGAGCAACAGAACTCCTAACAACATAAATAAGTGAAAGTGGTTGTATTTTGACGATCAAAATGAAGCGGTGACGCAGAAAGAAACGACAAATAAAGTGAGACTCGTGGTTGTCGCAGTGAATTTAGTTGGCCACCGAATAGCCACAGTCCTATCAGAACCCCAGTTGTTACTTTCGAGTTGATGCTTCCCATACTTCATCAAGACGAAAGGAAAAATCTCCGTAGTCGCTGGGGTTAGCCTACTCCCAACTTTAAAAACTTTGCATTCAGTCTGCAAGCACGAGCATGCGACTGCTTGAAATGCATTTTGAATTGCACGTCTCCGCAGCAACTTTGCTTCTGAGTTATGCAGTGCTTGCTGGTCCAATAATGTCATCACCGCAATTAGCTGCAATTTTGTAATAATTATTACCTCAAGTGTTTCCGTCATCTTAGATACCTTAAAAAAGTTAACCAATATACTTTCATGCGCTCTGACAGAATAGTCAAACATTTACCATTCGCATATCTTCACATGTTATCTCCTGTCCTAATGTTCCAACAACATTCCAATGTGTTTTGATCTCTCGTAAAGTTATGTCAAAAGGGTTTTTCACAGCTTTGAACGAACGCAGATATGTAAGCGAGAATATGAACATGTTAAAAGTAAGGATGTTAACTGCGTTGAAGTGAGTCAGTAGGATTTTCACCTTTTCACTGTTACTGGGCTAATGCGACCGGAAAGATAAGCCACGAACACCACTGGCTTGCAGAAAAAGTTGTCAGACACCGGGCATTAGATAAAACGATCGTCACTTTGTCGCCTCGACCAACATGGGCCGGATGCGAGGTGTGCAACCAGAAAACACCCTGCAGCGTTTCTATGCTTATCGGATACTCTCTTGAGACCTCCATTAGGTAAATGTTTAGAGTGTGCTAATCAACCAGACCGTTTGAACAGGAAGGTGTGGTGCTAAGTGCATAAGCACACGGGCAACCCTACACTATGACCAAGTTCCAGAGAGCCTCAATGAACAATAAAAACCTTAACTCGACTAATCTTGATCAAACACCATCGCATTACATTTGAACGAAGCCGTATCATCTCACAGAGGAAAAAATTGCCTGTGATGTCATCTTCTAGACACCTTGAACTCGATCAAGATTGGTCCGGTTCCGGTTTCTGTTGATCACTGAGGTCTTTTGGAATTGGGTCACAGTCTAGGGTTGTCCGCGTGCTAATGCACGTATCGCCACACCTTCCTGCTCAAATGGCTCAGTTGATTAACACACTCTGAAATTGTACCTAATGGAGGTCTCATGACAGTATCCGATAAGCGTAGAGAAGCCAGTCACTCAGGCAGCAGGTTGTTTTCTGGTTGCGCACCCCACAGTCGGCCCGTGTTAACCGAGGCAACACAGTCAAGCTCGTTTTGAGCTAATGCTTAATTTTTGGTCTAATTATGCTTGCTCGTTTGGCACGTAACTTAAGACCGAATGGGGCGTTCAAAATTCAATAATGCTTGATATAACTTGTCACATTGAATTTAACGTTTTCTGCCTTTAAAACCTAATTAGAAGGTTGAATTCTAGCAGCCTATCTGTTCTCACTGCTTCCGTAGATTGAAACGCAACAAACATTGAAAGACTCGTTGCTTAGGAGATGCTGACTGGGCCTATTTTTGATAGCGATGACCCTGTTTTTTAAAGGAACTTCATTGTCCCTGTTACGAGTTTCAAGATAAACCACCGTAACGTCACCTAACACAAGAACGAGGGTTGGGAACACGGCAAATGTCATCAGCAGGATGTTTCAAACTCTGTTGAATTTCAATTAGTCCTCCGTACAGAGAGTGGTGTGCAGTTGCAAACCGATACTCGAAGAACAGCGGTATATTGGTGGCCATTATACGGATTGCAACTGAGTTCGCTAATGTGTAACTCGAAATCAGCACTGATGCTGTTATATTTCAGGGTCTATTTCTCGGTTTAATTTTGGTCCATAAAATTTATCCTTAGTACTATACTCGAGATTCTCGTAGGCGAATGGGAAATTTTTTCTGTTCACTTTTCAGAGAAGCAATGAATTTTCTGAAGCGACTATCACAGTTGACCAGCGGACGACAGCATATCATCCCAACCGAAGCAAACTGTTCTCGCGTTCTCTGCTTACTTGAGGAACAATACTCCAGACTGTGTGAAGAAAAGGTGAATAGTGATTTCCTGGGATCCACTGTATCCTATCCTGAGTTGCGTGGTGATGACCTTAGGCTCATTTTGAAAGAAATATCAGCTGCACATCGTGATGTCTACAAACTTGAATATTTTCAAAATGTCTACAAAGAAACGAAGTCTGCCACCAAGACTGAGGAGTGAACAAAAACTACCAGAATGTTGTGACTGCAAATTTGTATCAGGAATCCTATATCACTAAATCGATCCGGGATAATTTTCCATTAGAATCTGATGAATTTTTGTATACCATCATTCTATCACAATCTCCTTTTACTCAACGTTTCTGAAGTTGACAATCGTTACTTCACCCGCGAAATCAATAAACTAGTTCGTGAAGCATGACAACTATACTCAAGACCCGCGTTTTCCACAACAGTGTGAATGGTTTTAGTTTGTCGGATCAGGAAAACAACCGCGTCGGTGGAAAGGATGAGAACTTAAAGATATCCAAGGATGTCGCTTGTTACACATTTTTCCGTATTTTTCATAGTGATTGGCAGACATGAGAATATAACAGGCAGTATCGATTGCATTTAACTACATATTAATCTACCAAATGAACAGGCATTCGAACGGGTATAACAGAGACATTTAGTATAGATCAGATACGTTCATGATACATCATTTGTAAGTTTTCTCTTTGACGCCTGGGATAACGAAAGCGCAAAATACTAAGCAAAACTCCCCAGACAACTAAAGAAATCGAAGAACATGACGCTAACTACCTCACGTAAAGAGAAATATTTAAATGGGTTGTGTGTGATGGTCTGATAATCATTCTGAAGTCGATGATATGGTCCCAACCAAATCTGTTCTGCACTATTTAACAGACTTAATTTCATATTCTAACCAAACTACTTCAATCAGTGTACACCGGAGGAACCTGGATGCGAGTTGTTTTGAACGCCAGTTGATATCTGGGTCATCTATCTCACTTCAGCTTGATACCTTGATTTTTCTACCCAAAGTCTTGATAAGAGAACTTTTGTTTGTTTATTATGGCAATATGTAGTATCCGGACTTCGAAACTGTTTGTTCGGTCTGTTTACAACAGCTCCTCATTCAGTCAGTCAAAAGTCCACGCAGTCCTAACAGGTCAATGATGGTTTTTCACAGGTCCAACAGAACTGGTACAGTTTGCTGGTCTCAGATCTGCTCACATCAAATCTATGGAAGTTTGCGAGTGACAACCCCGATTTCTCTTGACCCATTTACCGTTCCCTCGAGGTATTTTCTGATAGAACCTGCACATTCTCAACATATCGCAAGATTTTTGCAAGCAAAAATCCCATTGTAAACGACAGCACAAAATTAGTGTGACACATCGGTGCTTTGCTGCCGCACATCCACAACTTATTTGAAAGTTCTATTCGAAGAAAAAGAAAAGCGGTGGAAGGGAATAGGGAACAGGCAATTCTGATCTAGTACAGGCATTCCGAGCTGGTCACATCTCCATTCACATATTCAGACGATATCGAAAGAAACTGACTACATCGAGCGGTGGCCATGTCTAGGAGCGACGTTTGTAGATACATAGAAGGACAACCATCTGGAATACGGCTTGCATCGACAGTCTTGGTCACTTTATTATCTTTGTGAAAGGTTAGATGCTAACCACCTGTCTACCTACGCTACTCCAAAGTGAGTACGTAAATTTGCACGCTTTTGCGGACGCCTGCTTTACACGCACAATGAATGACTCAATTACTGCAATTATTGGCGCTTGAAACAGTTTACGAGTGAAGTCCATGCCGATCGACAAAACACTTGTAATTTTCTCATGCCGGCCTTCTTAGCACCAGCCTACGGAGGTCACAGCTCTAAGACCAGGACTGTCGAAGACAAAGAAGTCCCATTTCTGCCGCTGGAAGCTACCATGTCTCACAGTCATGTAGTAATTACAAGTTTCTTGAAGTCCAGAGATATACCATCCTCCAGAAGATCCTGGACTTTACCGTGATTTGACAATTTTGTACCTTCACGACGTACTGAGCAATACTGGGAGGCCGTCCGACGACAATCACAGTCTCTCATGTCAGGTTGGTCAATGGTTAGAGGTCCCTTGGCTCTCCATACTGAGGGTTGAAAGATGTATGGTAGCTTGTTCTGTAGAAATTGAAATGCACTTGCATTTCACGCCAAACACCGCGGCTTTGCGGTCAGGCTTCTTACCCAAAGGCTTTGGTTGAGGACTCTAATTGTCCTCCTGTCTAGGTTTGGATGCCCAAGCAGTATCTCATCCCACGTACAACCATGAATTTTACACACAATTAAACTCACACCGTATCGGTCGTCACGTGGTGCCATTAACCGGGTCGGCTTACTGGCTGCTTGCAGCTGGGCACTTAAGCAGAAACAGACCACTACTGACGCCTCCCTTCTTTCTCTTTCACATACCTTTTTTCCCCTCCTATCTCTAAACCATCAATAACTCTCTCCTTGTAGGCCCAGCAGTTAGGACGGACTAATCTGCCCTCCTTGCATCGCATTTGCAAGCGACACCTGAGCATCATCCGGCGCCGACATCCTCAGTCATCTCTAAATCAATGTTCGATCCCCAGCGCCCACTCTATATGCTGTCTTCAATGTCCGCACCCTGAAGCGAGCAGGACAACAGGCTGCTCTTGCTATCACGCTGGATGCGATTTGTATTGATGTGCAGGGTGTGCAAGGTTTGCATACTTGACCGGATACTTGTTTATAGTCAGCTGTGTGCCGTTCGTCTGAATAGTCGCATAAATATGGAAGTAATCGATTTCTGTTTGTCGTCTCAGGGTTACACCCCAAAAGACTGTAGCTATGACACAGCCAAAGACAAGTTTTATGACGCCCTGAATGCCCTGTTGCGGCCAGCTAAAAGTTTAGACATCTTTGTTTTTGCCGGATATATGAATAAATAAGTGGAAAGGGCTCGCGCATCTGAGACCCGATGGCGTGGTCAGTTTGAATTGGACTCGGTGCGTAGGGGTAATGGTGAATGATTGCTTCGGCTCGTAATGATTGCAGGCTGTTTTTATGCAGTACTAACTACCGAAATCGCCGAAGTCGTCTGGCCACTTGGCGTCCTCCAACGGCATGCCGGCCATAAACTCAAATTGATCAACTTGCCATCAGTTACTGATGGCGCGGACCGATAACTAACTGACTGCCGTTTTGGAGCACATCTGTGGATTCCGACCACGCATTTGTCTGGAGTCGCCTCTCCCAGGGCCGCGCATGTTGTGGACGTATGGCTTGGCGACTGAGAGACTGGCAGACCGTGATGTTAGACGAACTTACTAGAATCGTCTTCTAGAGTCTCTTCCAAATGCTCCACAGTAAGATGTGAATTCTTAGTGGGACGAGATTGCCATCTCTTGTCACAGTGCTTAGCGTTTTGCCATGCGCTACTTGGCCCACTCAAGCACTGGATATCAGACCGAGCAACGGCACTGTTTAAATCTTGCAGAAATTTCCCAGTCTGTCCCGAACATCGCCTAACCGGAAGAATTATCAGACGTCAAGTGAAAGTGGGTATGCGGACCTACCGTTAAGCTTGTTGGACACAGAATGCCAAAGGACTAGAATAGGACCAGAAAGCCGGTAATACCCAAACATTATTTCAGTCGATCCCTTCTACGCCTGTGAGAGAAACCATCAAAGATCAGAATGGAACTATCATCCATAATAAAGAAGAACGCCTCGACCTTTGAGCCAAATACCTCCAACAACGGTTATATTGGCCACCAGCTACCAAGGTTATAGCTGACTTTGAACCCTATACGGTGAACATGGAACCCCCTAAGGCCTCGGAGGTTTATGAATGCATATGTTCTTTCAAGCGCCACCGAGCTCCCGGTCCGGATGACCTTCCACCCGCACTGTTCAAAGACGGGGGTGGAGTCCTAAGTCAGCGATTGTCTGAGTTGTTTGCTGGCATTCTAGAAAAGGAGACTGTGTAGGACAGTCGAGGAGAGTGGGCGATAATGCCCAATTTCAAAAAGGGAGCTCGTAGTAAGCGTGGTAACCACAGGGGAAAGCTCAGCTTGACCCCACTCATAACGTCATTTGTGCTTCGTTGCCTTATGGGGGCTCGTGGAATAATGACTCGAGAGAAACAAGCAGGATTTCGGCCTGGCAGTGGGGTTGAGTGGACCAAATCTTTACAATCCTTCAGGTGCTAGAACAACGCCATACATACAAACGATCCACAGTTTTAACATTTCTAATTTTTTAAGATGTATTCGGTATTCAAAATCCTGGTGCTCAAATAGTCTCTGACGAAAACCCTGTCGATATGGAATATGCACATAGCATCGTTCTCTTCCTCTCCGGGTTTTTCGGTGAAACTGATCGAAGACATCTATTATTTGGCATGCGCCTCGCACCTACAAAGTTTAAGACCATGCTCCAGGATGTGCAGTTACTAAACTCCGCTTACAATCCGGGGAGAGACACTCGAAATTGTGACGTTTTACGTATCTTGGAATTTGTATTAGTTCCAAGTGTAGTGTGACAGATGAGATGAAAAAATCTGCAAGGCTTAGGTTGCGCGTGCTAGCTACGATGTCCCCAGGCCTTCGACAACCATTGTCTCAGAACCATGGCTCGTGTATATTGGTGTCGGCGAATCCGTAACGAGGCACTTAGTAAGTGAGTTTTCGTTTGTGTGACAGGGACTTCCATCAAAGAATACATCAAGCACCAAAAACTGCGCCGGTTAGGCCGTGTGTTGTGTAGGCCGAACTATCGTTCGTCGAAGAGGGTGCTGTTTTCTGAGCGCCGAAAGCAGACAGGTGATTAACCCTTAACCAGGCAGAGGGGTATAAAAAAGAACAACAAAACCTTTGGGTGCTGTGGGTATTAGTCACGTACCAGAATGGGGATCACGTGATTTCCACTGTGCCTGGTTAGGGACGCTCTAAGATATGGTTGCTCATCGATGTCAATGGCGTTTTCTTGCCAGTTTCCATCCAGATTGCCTGAATGAATGTCTGGAGGTGAAGGCACCGCTGATTGGTTGTGGTAAACTAGCCCCCAAGTCTCTTGCCCTTCCACTTTTATTCTTTTCGTTGGCAATAATGCTTCTAAATAAACTGTGGTTGTACGGCAGCTAAGCATCGTTGTTGAAAACTGATATCATGATGTCACTAATCATGCTG